ATCTAGAAAGAACACCTGTTCATGCATTTGTTTGCCTGAATTTCCTAAACATTTTTGGTGGTGTCTGAAAATAGACCATAGACTTTAAAGGCTGTAGGATTCCAACTGTTTTTCAAGCTCCTCTTCCGAAAGATCCACAGAGTCTCCCTTCTGTAGCCAGATGGGTGGCTCCACAGTTAAAATACCTCTGGGAGGGCACAGATCTCACTTTTCTTCCTTGCCCTGAAGCTCCTCTGCATGTGTGTGCACCCTTTCTCACAATCCCCCCAAGGTTTAGCACCAGCATCATTGCTTGATTTCTTGGATTTGGTGCCAGAGAAAGCTCCAATGCTGTGAGCTCCAGCTCTATGCAAAGAAGTTGGAGAAAACCTCAGACTTCATAGATCTCCCTTATTCTGTCAGGAAAAGGCCTGTTCAATCGGTGATAGTCTTTACCAAATGCCTCTTTCAAAGACTTGTAGATGCTAGTCATCCTTTAGTTAGTACAAAGAGCATAGCAACATGAAAGGCAGTCATCAAACATAATAGTGCAAGCAGTTTGTGAAATCAAACTGGACTTCACAATTTGGACTTATGGTAGATTCTCTGAAAGCGTCACAAACTGGCAACAACTGCTGTGGCTGCTCACAGAGTGCAGGAAGCTGGATTTTCCTCATAGCCCTTGTACATCATTGCTGCCTTAATAAGTTTCCAGGAAGATTCCTTTACATATCACTAGGATGGATATGTCAGCAACCATACGATCAGCCTAGAAGAAAGGAAAAGGCGAGGAAAAGAGCATGACAGCTGATGTGACAGGCAGGTAGGGGTGGGAATTACACTAGGAGCCAAATCAGTTATTTTAAGCAAGGCACTTCACTGTCGAGCCTGGGTTTCCACAAAGACAAGGCTAAAGGAGGACAAGTATGTAAGCAAAGCCATGTTCCAAGCAAAGCATTTGTTCAGTCACACATATAGGTGTCAGCTCTTCCTACTCATGCCACCTGATGAAGCAGTACATGAGCGGGTGAACAAACCATGAAATGTGGGTGCCTTTCAGGATATTCCACCAAATATTGCTCTTCATGATATATCATGATCTCCAACTTATGTGATATCATGTGATGTCTGCCACACAAGAAGGGAGTGGACTTTATGTTCTCTAATTTCCTTGCACATTTTTAAGGGCTCTGCTGGTGCTGGATTTTTTATGGTAGCATGTCCTTCATGCTGGATTTGCCATGTTACGGTGTTCTTTATGTTGTTCAATCAGTACGTGCAGGGCATTGGTATGGTGTAAAAGCAATCATTAATCAACACTCAGGTGTGTTGTATTACAATCCCCACTTTCCGGACACCAACAAGTACGTTACACTGACAAAATCCATAGCAGCTTTCCGGCTAGAAGATCTGTCTGTCTGAAGGCTGTCTGGCAGATCAGTGGGTTATGTCTGCTGTGAGGAACATAAATGTTGTGTGGGGCAGGATATGCACAGCCAAAGTATCCAGGCACTCCTGGGACTACCTCTGAAGTCACAGGTGGAGCTCTAGTTGCCTTGTTTGGGGTAAGGAAGCAGCCTCAGACTTGTGACAATGCCAGGGGTACCTATACTGTTATTTGCATCTAATCAGGTTGATTGCAAAAGGAACATGTCATTGTCCATCTATTATTTGCTGGACTCCAACTGAATTCTCAGTGTGCATATCTAAACCGCAGGTTTACTGCAATGGAGTTCAGTTCCGGGAAGGACAACCAATATCGATCCATGGTCCAAATAAATTGGCCTTTTTCTTTGTACCAGCTATCATGATGCTCTGCTCTACAATTGCCTTCAAACCAAATAAAGACCAAATAAAATTCTGCAGAGGAGAACATGCAAGAATGCAGTTCATGTTTACACAGGAAATCACAAAGAGAACATGCTTGCTCCAAGTGATGCAATACAACACAGAAATAGTTGGCCCAAGATCATCACTGTCTCAGTGAAACATGCATGTTTATTTCCTATTAAAAACACTTTTGCCTGTTAGATGGATCTACTTCATAATAATACTTCATAATAAGGCTGAGGCCCCATCCCTGGAGGTATTTGAAAGACGTGTAGATGTGGTGCTTAGGGATATGGTTTAGTGGTGGACTTGGCAGTACTAGGTTAAGAATTGGACTTGATTATCTTAAAGGTCTTTTCCAACCTAAAAAATCCTATGGGTCTATGATTATAAATGAACATGGGAACATTGCACAGCTGACACACACTGCTTCATTGCCTACTCAGAAGCAGCAGGACGCTCTGTGGAGGGTGAAAAGAGATGTAGCTGCTCAACCTGAAGACATTACAGTCTGGAAGCCTGTATTTTACAGAAGACTGATGTACCTACTCTATTGTATGATCTCTATAACTACCAGTATCTGCCAGACTGTGTGAATGTTTCAAGCACGAAACATCTTCCTGCATGTCCTGCTCTTTCTGCCTGTGAGCACCATTCAGCACTTCCTCTTCTTCCTGTTATCCCTAGACTATCTTGATTTAAATGCCTGTTTTGGCACAGTGGGGAGCATGGCTGTCAGAAACACTGACTGCATTCCAAGTCCTTGTGTAGGATACATTTGAGGCATCTGCCATAGCATCAGGGGAGGCTGAAGTGGACAGTGCTTGGCAATGAGAAAAAGCTGCAAAAGAGGTGATAAGCAAAGAGAAAAAGTGATCTCCCTTGTCTGAAAGACATAGCTCTTTGGCCAGAGAGAGCCCTTTGGAAGGACTCACTCTCCAGCTGCGTATCACACTGTATGTGTGTCTGCTCTGAGATGACCAGGAGGAGAAGGACCAAGTACCAGACCAAGCATGACATATCTAGCCTTTTCAGTGCAGCAGTGGTGGTCTCTGCACCTGCACGCACAAAGCTATCAAGAAAATCATCATCAGGATCACCATTCAGGCTGTTGCATTCAGAGACATCCTGCACAATGTGTACGCAAAGCTGCATGACTGCATCTGCTGTGCCATTCACAGCAGGGTGCTGAGCAGCCCATCCTGGGATGCCAGGAGTAAACCTAACTCATGTATGAGATACGTGTTTGGGACAGTTTGAATAAACTACTTCATATCTGGAAAAAAAAAAAAAAAGATAAAGTCTGATGATCTGGCACTGGGGATGGTCCCTGGATGCTAGAAGCACGTGGCTCTCTCCTGTGCTGCCGACATGGGAACAGCCAGCTGGTCTCGGCTGCCACTGAGCCTCAGACCCACCAGAGGAAGCCACTAGCATCATCTGAGAGAAAACCTGGGGGCAGACATGACACATGGGCACAGACTAGTAAGTGGCAGTCCTCTCGCCATGGGCATTCACATGGGGAAGGTACTCAAGGACTATTGTACATGTCAGGAGTGGAATCAGCATGTGGAGCTACCCAGCTCCAGCTGAAACAGCAGAAGGCTGTTTGTTCTGGAGACAGAAGGACGAGTGGATCCACACAACACATTTCCCAGCATCCTGAGCACCTATGGCTTATTCAAGGTTTGCTTTGGAAAAAGACACTAAAGTGACCCCACTACTATCTGTAGGATATCACATCAGTGACCAAAAGACAAATAGCCTCAGGGGTCCAGATGCTGCCATCAGCTGTGTGAGTGCTTCCTGTCCCCACGGCACGCTGCCCACACCATGCAGCCCATGAGAGTAGCGAGATCCAGTGGCTGTAATACTAATACTTACTGTAATAACACCTTACATCTACCAGGAACCAAAGAGCTGTTACCAGAATAGGTGGGAACTCAACTATACCAGAGTTGCTTTTTTAACCTTTACTGTACTAAAAAGGGTAAAAGTGCATTTAAATAACAAGGACCACTGACTGCATCAGTGGACAAGGGAAAAGCAATGGATGATATCTGCTTGGATTTCTGTAAAGCGTTCGACACAGTCCCCCACAACATCCTTCTCTCTAAATTGGAGAGATATGGGTTTGATGGGTGGACTGTTCGATGGATAAGGAATTGGCTGGATGGTCACATCCATAGGGTCATGGTCAATGGCTCGATGTCCACATGGAGACCAGTGACAAGTGGAGTCCCTCAGGGGTCTGTACTGGGACCAGTGCTATTTTAACATCTTCATCAATGACATAGACAAATGCACCCTCAGCAAGTTTGCAGATGACACCAAGCTGA